GAAAGAGTGAGCCTCACTACCATAATGTTCACATGAACAAATAGTCTTTATCTCTCCCTATGTGAACAATAAAGAGATCAAGAATATTAAAAACTTAGTTTATTTACTAAATTGCAATGAGTGTATTACTGTAGCCTCTGTGGAAATGCCTGCAGGTGATGAAGGCAAATGGTAGGGAGAGAGAAGCCAACAAACTAGAGAAAATGGCATCACTAAGCCAGGAAAAGAGAAGATTAAGAGCTCAGTAGCCTCATGAAGACTTTGGTTTGTCTTGGTGGTCTTAAACATAGACCATAACACGTGCTCACATCAAATAGGGAGTAAGGAGTATCTGCATTCGGAAAAGATGTATTTATTTATTTATTAAATCACTTCCCCTGCCCTCCCGCCTAGAGGTCAATGGCTGTGATCCAGTTGGAGGACTGAGAAAGAGAAGTGAGGCATCAAATTATTAAATTGACCCAGCTGTTTCAGATTGGGTAGTAACCTTTGTATATCTCAAATTTAAGGAGGTATAAACTTGCTGGGTATTAACACATCATCTGACCAAGCTCTAGGCTATTTTTATACTTGAAACAAAAGGTTTCAAGAATATAAGAAGCAACTTCAGCACCATGTGTTGAATGACTAGAATGGCCGAAGTGCAGGTTTGTTTTTCATTGTCCTCCTCCTCCAGAGGGTATAGTTTTATGTCACAGAGCATAGAGCAGCTAGGCTAGCTGGAGATGAATTTATATGCCATCTAACAAGGTTTTCTTCACAAACCTTTCCTGAACTACCTTTGTCCCTTTTCACCTGCACTTCTATTGCCACCTAAGCCAATTTAAAGCATTCTGCATTTGAAATATTTTGTATCTCTTTGCTTCCATGCCTTTTAAGGTACAATTTTACCTTCACTATGTCATAAAAAGCCCTTTCTCATAACTTTGCAATAATTCAAATGTAAAACCTTTCTGACAATATCATCAGCCTGACAATCACCTGGGTCTAAAATAAAATGTATTTGCTGATATTTCGCTAAAATGTATCTATTATTTTCAATTCCTGCCCGCCCACCCACCCACCCCCATTTTTGTTGCCAACTATCTTTCCTAGGCAGCTGTTTCTGTACAGATTACAGAAGACAGGACTTTATGAACGATGTCAAAAGTTCTCTTATTAAAAATATCTTGTGAATATTCTTGAACTGTATATTGTAGAAACTTGTAAATGTAAATGCCTTCTTTATGCTCGGATCTCACAGCTGTGCTTGTTGGCTCAATTGCCACGGCAAACACATCTGCTAAACGGGACCTGAGAAGGCGGACTCTCCCCGGAGTCCTCTTCGCAGTCGGCTCAAGGTAGCTGTGTGCCTGGAATCGCAGAGTCGCTCTCCGGCCGGAGCCTGTCTCCAGGTAGTTTGCTTTGCCCCGCCCCCCCCAGTCCCTCTGCATCTTGGTGATTGGTAGGCAGCAGTTAAGGGGCGGGCCTTGTGGGGCTTGTTGTTTGTGCTGTGCTCGGGACTCTCCGCCTTTCCCGAGGTTGTTTTCTTAGCTTTAGCCCGCGGCTGCCAGGCTCAGTGCAGGGGCTGCTGTGGGAAGCGAGGAGGTGGTCGCGCGTGCTGGGCTGGACGGCGGCGGCACCACCCTGTGACAAGCATGAAGCTGGCGAGCACAGCCCACCAGCCCCAGGGGTACTACGGAGCCGTGCAGGGCTTTCCATGCAACCGCTGTGGGAGCCGGCGCCGCGAGGTAGCGGGGATGGTTGGGAGAAGCTTTCTGGTTTCCTGAGACAGCGGCTGGGTTTGGGACCGGGGCGGCTTTTCCAGTCGCGTTTTAACCAGTCACTGTTCGGAGAGGCGTTATCCCCTTGGCTTGTTTAATGGAGCCCAGGAGAGCTTTGCTGGGTAGTAGAAGAAGGCTCCTGTCCTGAACGCATTAAGGGAAGCAACTCCGTGTTCCTTCAGTTGCTAGCTTTTAATTCTGACCGGTTTAATGCAAATCGAAGCGACGTTACAGAGCTCATAGCAGTAGCGCTAAGAGACCTTCTGGGAGTGGGGAGTATTGGGGGGGAGGGCTTGCCCAGTTGGTGCTTGTCATCCTTCTAGGAACGATCAGTGAGTGCCCGTTTGCACATTCTGCAGATGACTGCAGATGTGGTTACGAAAACAAGTGTTAAGATTTGTTTGTGTAAACTTATTCTAGTTACACTGGTGAAGAGCACACTGATTCAGAACAGATAATTGTAATGGTTACCTCTAAAAACAGCTTAATGTACTTTAAAATTGAAGTCAAAAGTACTATAGCCCAATG